TTAAGGAGGGGGGGCTTTAGAAAACTATCATTGTCTATATATAAGTGACCTTGGCACTAGTGGTTGTTCAGGCTATGTCATGTTTGATTATTAATTGTTAATGTTTAGTTTCGTACTAATATATTTTTATTTTAAAGATAATGTGTGAAGATTACTAAGCCTACTGAGCTGGGAAATAAAAGGAAATGTTTATTTGCTGAATGTCTCTTACCTAGCAGTTTGTAAGTCATAAGAAATTGCACCGTATTCAATAGTTAGCATTGTTTTTTAAATACTTAATAAAGTCATTCAGTCTCTTTTATTTAAATTTTTTCTTTTTTAACTATTAAACGGTGTATTGCTTAACTATAGTTTGCTGTTTATAGATAAGCAAGAATTTTCCTGGAACATTTTCTTAAAAATGTGAACCATAACCAGTTGAAGTCGTCTCGTCATCTTTTATTATATACATATGTATATAATATTTGTAGTACTGTTGTATGCTTGTGTATGTTATGTAATAAACTGAAGTATTACACCTTATCTTATTTATTCACAAGTATTTTGGTGTAAGTCAGACCTTAAGCTATTCAAGAATACTGTTTTAATTGTTAGCGTCTTTGTTCAAACTTTGTTTCACTTTTATATCTGCATAGTATTTTGTGTCAACCAAAGTTGAATTTTCAAGAAGGTAGAAAGAGGAATTGCAATTCTGATTGAACAGTCTAAAGCTACTTTTTTTTTTAAACACCAATTTATTTTGAATGTTGCACTGTCCTATTGTTATTGATTATCAGCATTAAGAGAGATTTTAAGTTTAAAAACTCTTGCGTTTAGTTATATCGTAGTTTCCGTTATTGAATAATCTAAGTCCACATCCTGGAGACCATACTCGGCACAGATATCAGCTGAAGTCCTCTGTGGCTACAAATATTTAACAGAACTTAGATATTTTTGTAATGAGACAGACCAGTTTACAAACTTAATTACAAACCATCTCACATTAGCACACTAATAAATACAAAACAAACTATAAACATTGGTGTAAAAAAGTACTTTATTCATAAAACTGATTAGCTGACTTGCAAAATAAGCTATCGAAAATCAAAGTATTTCATTATGAAAATCTGACCAGCTATAAGCTCTTCTCTCAGCATGTACGACCTTTAATTGCCAAAGCAAACCCCAAAATTGCCATGTCCAAAATGGTAACTCTCATCTCAGCTAAATGGAGAGAATTTCTCCAGAACAGCCAAACAAAAGAAGAGGAATCTCGGACTATCCAGGAAGAGAAAGATAAGCCGGCCACACCCACTTCTCGACCTAGAGGCTCAAAAGATGGTGAGTGTGATTTAAATATTTCACAAAATGAAATATTTGTTTGGTTGGAGAAACATAAGAATTCAGTGGGTCTCGTAGATGATGAACAATGATGATTAAAGTAATTGATACTGTTATTATAGTTGAATAGGAGAAATGTAATATTGAGGATTTTGTTGGGTTGATATTTTCCATACCTTGCACGAGAATAAAAAGATTTAACTTGAATACTTCTCATACTGCACCATTCATAAGTCCAGCTGTAACAAAATGGAAGGAATATGAAATTGCAATTTTTACTAGGTTGGTCTTTTTAACAATTGCCTGGAAAATTGTTATTTGTATTGAAAAATTAAGTTCAATAATGCTGATACAATGCCATCCACTAGGTATATCAACTTCTTGCTGGATTTGAAATAGTGAATTGTGTGCACATGTGAAAAAACCAACTACATATATATGTGGATACAGTAATATGAAATGTCTTACTGTTGTATTTTAATTTCAAACTTGATGTATGTGTCCAGCCAGTTTTTGTTTGTGTGATCTTCTATACACATTTTTAATTTTCATATAATACACTGTCTGACTTCACTTCACTTAAGTTTTTGCTCAATTTCTGGCTCTCCGAGTTTAAGAACATGTATTTTGCTGGTGTTGATTGTTTTCTTGGAGATTTTGAGTAGGCCAGAGGCCAAGAGAATAACTAAATCATGTGGAGATTTGCATAAAACACATTGCAGTGCTCACTTTTTCTACATTTGCCCCCCAGCGGCACAGCAGTATGTCTGCGGACTTACAACGCTAGAAACTGGGTTTCGATATCCATGATGAACAGAGCAGATTGCCCATTGTGTAGCTTTGTGCTTAACTTCAAACAATCACACTTTTCTAAATTTCTTTTTCAGTGAGGTGTGAATACTATGATTAGTAGATACTAACACAAACAGCTGCCCGTAGTGTGGTATTTCTGTTAGTTATTCTAATGAATATTTCTGTGACTTAACGCCTATAGGTAAAAGCTACAATCAGACTTTTAGATGTTGTTAGCTATGTTGTGTTATGTATAATAATAATAATAAAGTATTTAAACTTCTAGATCAACAACTAATAAATTTCTCTTGCATTTTACATTTCTTCGTAAAAAGATGTAGACAGAGTTGGAAGCAGTGCCGGTAAGAGTAAAGGCTCCAAATCCAAGTCCAAAAAGTCTGTCCCTCTCCTAAAAATCAAAATTGGAGGTATTGGTAAAAGGAAAAAACAAAGCTCTGTAAGTGTGACATTTGTCAATTTTTATTTCAGTAACTTTTGTTTTCTTTATAGCGGTTTTAAAAGTTTAGTTACATCCTGCATTTTTGGTTCACTCATTCTTTTCTAGATAACACATAGCAACTTCGTGTTAACTGGAGACATTTTCAAGTGTATTAGTTATCTGAAATGTAGCTTGAATTTAAAATTTTGATCCAGAAAAGTTGAAACCCAAACTAGCCAGATTTAAACTTTATACTACAATTTTAGAGGCATTGATGGTTCTATTACAGTTCCACCCATCTTTGATTCAGTACATTTCATAAAAACATAAAGACAATCATAACACTTCTCTAAAACCTTTTGTTTCATTTTCAAAGGAATAAAAGCTTAGAAATTTTCCATCTGTGAAGTATCGTACATTAGGTGTATTTGTATTGTAGGATGATGAAGACAGTTTCAGTGAGTCTAAAAGTGATGCTGATTTTGAGGCAGCTCTTGAAGAGGTACAGAATTCAACACCACCACCACCAAAAAGTGAAGCTAAAAAGAAAAGTAAAACAAAGAAGACTAAAAAGAAAAAGAAAACCAAAACGACAGCAAGTTTCCCAAGTTCTGATGCAGAAAATGATGGTTATGAGGTATGTGTTGTCTTCTGATCAGAAGTTATTAACAAAGAACTAGATGGTAATGGAATAAGATGTGTTTATGCTTAAAAAAAAAAACCAAACTGTAAGTAGTACAATTTTTAATGATATTTATTCAATATTTTTGTTGTTATGTTTAAGAAAGATTATGGTTATGTTTTTTTAGCTCAAACTCTCCTCGTTCGGTTAAGTAGTCCTGTTGTAACGTATCTGTCACTGTATGGTCTGGGTAGCTTGACTGCCATCCCTAATTTCAAACCACTGACCATAGGGTGGGAACTGGTTGGCAGCAAGCTATTACTTTTTATTATATATATATATATAT